TCACTGCCATAACAGCGACAAACTATTTCAATAACAACGGAAATTTATCTGCTAAGCCCTAACACACAAGATAACGCCTTTCAGCGATGAGATCGACAAGATATAATATAAACATAAAAGACATGATAGTAGGAGCGAAATGATTATCATGAAGTAAAGAATTTGTTATATCTTCACTACTTTCTTGCTAGCAAGTGAACGAGAAGCAGAGAACTAGCACAGATAAATATGATAAGAATGATCTAAAATTTTCGAAAAAAATGTTACTGAAATGCTTATCCGAAGTTATCGAATGAAATAATATGCAATCAAAGCGTGCCAGGGAAATGTTTGATTTGCAAGTTACAATAAAGTCAGCAATCAGACTTTCATTGCGAAAGTGTACAACTATTGATTTGAAAGTGTCTGCCCGTTAATCCTAATAATTCTTGTCCATCTCGGATTACAAGCTAAACAGTTTAATTCATTTGGTGCGGTTATGTGCTAACGCAATGCACGGTATTTTGCAAATATCAGTAAATAAATTAATGTCTATGTTGGCTCAACAAGCATTCTGGAAAAACATTTACCAACTACCTCGTCCTCTCTATTCCGCTGCAGAACCAAAACAAACGGGGTTCGCATCATCTTGCCTTTATATCTCAACACATAAAAGTCTACACTTTGGTAAACATGCACAACAGGTTATCATCAAAGTAAAACAGAGACCTATCCTGACTTCATTATAAACTCTCAAAAGACTCAGGAAAATATTTTTAAGAACCGGCGTGCATTCTTCAGTTACATACGTTTTGGCATTTAACCGATCTGCACTACCCATTGTTGGAGGCTCTTTCATAATGCCCTCTAACATCTCATTCCACGATGTCTCGATATGCCAATATCTATGAAAGCATGGAGGCAAATCCGGCAGACAATGCTTCCAATGTCCCCGACTCTGCGTTACAGTCTGAGCTTCGGCCGAAGACAATCGGAGTCTAAAGCAGACTTCTTTCATTTGCTTCTACCAGGTTAACCTTGGTCGCGCGCGCGCTCGTTCACTTGGCGTTCTGCTGATATGCCGGGCAAGAAGTAATAGTTTCACCTTCCTTTCTGGAGGCGTTCGCAACAAATATCCAAACCAATCTGAAGAAGCAAAAGCTGTACACTAAGGCTTTTCCGGATGCCATTATTCCGAACCATGTCGAGACGCGTATGGCCAGCGACTCCTTTAATAACCTCCATTCTAGCAGCTTGTACTCAAGATCGAAGCTTTTCAGTCATGGTCCATGACTCATGACCGTAGGTAAGCATGGGGATAAAGATCGACTTGAACACAGAGAGATTGCTATTCAAAATCAGATCTTAATTAGTCATAGTGGTTCGGGCTAGTTCACGCAGTACGCCACTGACTACTTCAATTCGCCGGTCGATCTCTTCCTCAAATTTTTCATCATTAGTGAACACGACTCTGAGGTACTTGAGCTTCTCACCTGCTTCACTGCCTCTCCGTTAATCTAAAGAGAACAACCTGCAGGAGAAGGAGAAGCACCAGGCTTTTCGTTTTGGTGCGTTCACACGCATGCCAGTCATGGCGCACTCGGCTGCGAACCGTTCCAGAGAGCATTGTTGATGTCAACAAAACAAGGTCGTCTGCAAACAATAACCTGCGCGTCTTGGCCTCTCCTGTACCGGTACATGCATCACCTTGACTATTCCATCCATGTATAGGATTCCTGAAACAGGAGAGACGACAGAAAGCAACCTCGGCGGAGACCAGCGCCGACGCTTGAGGGTTTTGCCATAATGCCATTTACTTTGACGTAACACCTGCTCTCAGCTAAAAATGATTGAATGCCAGTAGCAACTAGTCATCGAACCGATATGTTCTTAGCCATGCCAACAGATTATGTGGCGGGATCTAGTTACAGACTTTCTCTAGGTCATTGTAGATGTACATCGGATGGTAGAACTGAACGATTTCACAACAATCTGGCGTAGGACAAACATCTGGTCAAATGTGCTTCGGATGGGCAGGAAGCCACACTGATCTTGTATTTGGAAGCCAGTAATTCTGCGAACCTTCTTTATAGCACTTTTGCGAAAACGTTTTCCGGGAGACTCGAAAAGTTAATGCCCAGATAATTGGAGTACTGTGGCCTACTTTCTTGAACAGTGGTACCGCAATTCTCGTTCTCCAGTCCGCTAGTGCCTTCACTGTAGCCACTGCAGTTTGAAAAACACGTATAAGCCAGCGCATGCCTTGTTGGTCTATTCCCTTGAATATTTCTGGGTGGGTTTCTTTAATTCCAGATTCCTTTCCTCTTTAAAAGCTTTTTACTGTTCGTGTGATTTCAATGAAAAATGGTAATATTCTCTCTCTGCTACTCTACGGGAGAGTCTGCCTATGGTTGCATGGGGTTAAGATGTTCCTCAAAGTACTTATTTCTCCGCCATAGAATGTCCTCATTCTCGGTAAAGGGCTGTTCAGTTCTGTCTTTCAAGACTCTTAGACTGTTCTTCTTCTTATTTTGGAGCCAGAGGATAATTTGCCAGAATACCTAGTTTACTGATCTGAAATTCAACTCCAGCACCTCAGCGAGCTTCTCCAAGGAATCAGCTTTGGCTTTCGCCACTCCTTTGGCTGCCGCCTTGCGTGCTTCTACGTATCGCATGCGATTTGAAGTATCTTTACTTCCAAACCGTTTCATGAATGCATCATTCTTTTCTTTAACCGCCAGTCGTATCTCTAGTGGCGATCAGAATGTTGTTTTCTGACCTCCGGGCAGCGGGCCAACCCGCCTGAATCCCTAGCATTCGGCAACGATCCCGATTATGCCGCTCTAAAAGAGATCCAACTGGGTTTCGGCATCAGTGGTCATCACCGGGATCTGTTCAAACCGTCATGCTATGTTGTTTTAAAATTTTTCTCCCTCCTCCGCCACAGATATTGTTTCCCATCTCATTAAGTGATTGCTGCCGCCACCAGGTCGTCGCATGGTACGCCATTTCTCACAGCGTGGCATGCCGACAATGAGGTGGTGATCGGTTGACAGCTCTGTGCCTCTCTTAACGCAATTATCAACAACAGAGTATAGTAAGTCAGACGATAAGATTATCAAATCGATCATCGACATCTGTGCACAAGCTTTCCTGTGCCAGGTAAACAGATACATGCTTCGATGCTCGAGGAAGGTGTTCATAATGGCCAGTCCTTTGTTGGCACAAAACCCAACAACTTCATGTCGCTTTTGTTGGGTCGCTAGAGTCGTCCTTTCAGATCACGCATTTCCACTTTTCAGTGTTTGCTCCAACATGCGCATCAAAATCGGTCACTAGAATGAGGAATTTCGCAATCGAAACTCCGAACAGAGCATGTTTCATTTGCTCAAGGAAGGACTCATACTCTTCCTCCAAATTCAGGGCATTGAACTGAAACAATATCCAAGCCCTCAGCCCATTGTAGCCTCAGTGGGAGAGTTGCCACTCGTCTAATGTCATGTTTTCGTTCAGTGTTTGCGTTAGCCAGGTTGGGTTGCAGTAGGATACTAGTATGGGCCTGAGGGCGCGTCGTGATGTCGCCATCTGAGTTGAATGGCTTCCAGCCATAGAGGTTCAGAATTCCAGAGCCTTGGCTTTTCATTGACGAGAGTTCAACTATGTCCACTTAGTTCCTTGTGGTTTCATTAACTAGCTGCTGCTCATACCATCTTACGGTATACGTATACACCACCTATAAGGCTATCTTACGTTTCGAACCAAGCTCGGTCCGTCTTCAGAGTACAATGAGAAAGACACGCAATGTTTCCTTGATTGTCTGGTTGACCTGCCTGATTAATGGTGCCACGTTTTCTTTCTGGTCTTAAAGTGGTGAAGACGGATGATGCTTGCGATCCATGTGTCGCTGACGTTTGTTCAAAGTTTAGGATTGATGCAGTTGGTTGCGCGGATCAATGACGCTTCCTTGACTTTGCGGAAAATAAATAAATAAATAGCCATCTGCCTCCATAGTATTGCCATCATCGCACGTTATTCCGGTTCTGTCGTTGCCAAGTTAGCAACAGCCACGGAGGGTGTGGAGAGACTGAGAGAGGGTGCGAAATGTTGGCGATCAGAACCCGCTCCTACCGTCTGCAGCCGAGGCGTATCAGCACGACAACGTCTACCTTAGGTCGACAGAACGACAACGAAGATACCGATCAGCAACGTAGCCGCTACCCGTTCTGAATGGAGAAGGCAGAGTGATGCCATTATAGCACATCAGAAAAGGCTCCACGAGAACGTCACCTCCAGTGGGAGCTTACAGGACTGTCGTCAACGATGCGCCACGGCTCTGGAATCCTGAACCCTTGCTGATGCAAGCTGTTCTACTCAGGTGTCGACATCGCGACGCGCGTTCAGACCGGTGCTGATGTTCTGGCTGAACTCAACATTACTGAGAGAATCATCGGAGGGGAGCCTGTCAGCGGAAGCGTGGCGTCTTCGACTGAAGCTACAACACGGTAA